TGTATAAGAGACAGTATATATACAGTATATATATATTGAATATAATATAATATATATTGTAGGTATGTAGGGTTCTTGATTCCCTGACCCCGGCAACTTTCTCCCGTCAAAATTGGCCATTCTAATTCCTCCACTCTTCCCAGTCGGGACCACTGGGTATACAGTAATAGTATTGAAAATAGTTTCATTTTAGGTCGGAGAAAGGCGCTTATTTAAACAACCATTAAATTTAACATTTGTATAATTTAGCATAATTTCCCATCGGCCCTTGGCATAATTTGATTTGGATCACTGGTCACAAAGAAAGGTATATGCCTAGCATTCAATTAAGTATTGTAAATAGAAGATTTCTGTTCCCCAACTTATTTCCAGCAAGCCGTAGATTTCATCGCAATAGCTCAATGGGAACTGTGTTGTTGCTAAGGAGTTTCTTTGACTGCTGCTGTGATTTTTCTTCAATTTCTTCAGTACTTTTAAAGCCCTTTTGGTCAGAACTTTATAGGTTAGTTTATAGAGAATAATTATAATTCAAAATAGCTTAACTTTACACATACTTTTTCGATTAAGGTCATTTAAGGTCATTAGTTAATGATGTGCTCTATTCATTTACATTTAAAAAAAACATTTTGATAGAGTACGAGTTTACAGCCCTTTTGTGATCTTGGGTCACATTTTTGTTATGTGTTGTTATTTCCTCAAATAAGGTTTAGATATTATCATTTTATAACAGGAACAATGAAACAAAAACAAAACCATGTTACCCATATCTCCCGTAATCTAGATACAACAGAAAGCTAAACATTTCAGGAAGTATTTATGAAGATGATCGACTACAGGGTGGAAGGTTAATAACCAAATTTGTTAATATCTTGTAGTGTCTGTGTATATATTGCCTAATTTGTATTTAAACAATGAATAACAATAACAATAAAAATGTTAACATGTACAATTACTATATTTTTGCATAAGGTTATAGTAAGAGGTCTGAAAATTAGTGGGTTTTTTAGTCTTTGCCTACTAATACCACTAATGTATTACAAGTAATACATGTACATTTGCCAGAATACACGATGCAATATAATGGGGAAGTTTGTCAAGATTAACTGACCATGCGAACAAAAAAAATTTACCACTTTCTACACTCCACCAACTCCCTTCATTTTTTTGCACCACTGTGATTTCATGATGTATGTCAAAATATTATATATATATATACATATATATATGAATAAATGTAGTTGGCAATACTAGCAACGTATA